GTCTTATTCAAACCAGTTTCTCATGAGCAACTTCAGTGGTGTTTCACTAGTCTTTTTCACTGACTTGTTATAAGAGTCATCCATTTGCCAGTTTGACAGCACGGCTCGTACTGTGGTTGGTGAACATTTCAAAATAGACCCAATTGAAAAGTGACTCAGGGTTCAGTGAGGGAGTCAATTGTGAACTCATTAACGGCTCCGAATGATTCACTGACTGTATGAGTCTGATTCTCGTGAGCGATTTCAATGGTGCTTCACAAATCTTTTTGACTCATTATAAAGAACCAGATTGCAAGAGTCATCCATTTGCCAATCGGACAGCAGAGCTTGTGGTGTATTTGGTGATGCTTGCAGAAAACACAAGCGTTCATTGTTGCAACCTAATTAGATCGTATTTGACAAATCATTATATGAATACACTCAAAATTTTCCTCACGGTGTAGATTTTCAATTATTGTCATAAATGTTTATTTTTTGTTGCATTTGAAAGCATTTAAAAAAAAAATTCTTCTCCGTTTTGCTGGTTCATCTGCTTTAAAGCTTGTGTATTCAAGTACCTGTTTTTACATCTGTGCACTCTCGCACAAAAGGTGATATTCAAGCTGAACAGCCAGTAAGCAATATCATTCATCAGACAGCACAGTAAATGAGCTCCCACCTCCATCCAAACTGCATTTACACACAGATACAATGTTATATTTTTTTCTGAGGAGCTCTATTCAGGACAGACTATAAATGGCTGTATAAGGACACCTATTTGTTTCATGTCAAAGACTGAAGTACTGTGAACTGAAGAGGTACACTAAGGCATCTTTTCCTAGCCATAACTCTCTACCTCGAGAGAATTTCTATGCATACATAAGAGAGTGCAGGAATTTATTTGCATTGCTTGCAACAATTGCTTTTGATGAACTGTGTACCTATACAAATTGTTGGTGCTCTTCATATGCTCTTTGTCTTGATAAATATGCTTTATGATGCACATGTTATGTTATTCTTTTTCCAGCAAATATGCTGAAATTACAAGTAGCTTATTCCTAATTGTTTTTCATGAGTACACTGAGTACGCTTTCAGAACGTAGATTTATATGGACAGCTGCAAAACTGTAAAGCAAAGCAGTCGGGTAGAAGCTGTTTTTGAAGGAGAAAATCTCTGCGTGCTATTCCTTCAGCCTCCCACACAATTAACAAAGTGATTTTCACAGCTCTCTATACAATTAATCATTCACCACAGTTCCTTGAACACAAACGCTCCACCAACCCCCACAGAGCCAAGCCGCAGAGGGTTGGATCCGAGGCCGGTTTGAGGCCTGTTTCACGCCGCGCATAGAAGCAGTGTGCAAGCCGTGCAACAGCATACAGGCTAATGATGTGATTTAACACAGAGAGAATTTCTGATGTGTTACTGATCAAATAACGGACATAAATTATAAAATGGTTGTCAGAAGCCAGTGAAAATTAACAAATTTGCAATTTAAGGTACCAGTTAATCTACATAGAATGGAACCCAAACACCGAAATGTAGCTATAAACTGCCTAAATCTATTTCTTTCATGTCAACTCTCAAGAATTTTAGCATGGTAATGGATATGACAGTGTTAATGTATTTGGTCTTGGTGGAATAGATCTGCTACGCTGCTGCTGAATTGCTGCTGCTGTTGGTTATTGCTGTAGTTGTAGAATATTGCTGCTGCAAAGCAAGTACAGGAACTGCCATAGTAGATCTATACAGGTGGAGCTGGGGAAGGTGGAGGGTTTCATAGGAACTCTGAAAGCGCACTGTGAAATGCTCTAGTGAACTATTTAAATGTAAAGCAGCAAGCTCATTGGCTGTGTATGCAACATGAGCCAATCAGTTTGTGCCAAGCAGTTTAACAATGTGAATATCATCAGTTTGCATTAACGACACATCAGCCTGCGCCATCTAGAGTTTAATGACAGAACTTGGTATTATTATTGTTATTATTATTATCATAATTTATTTTAATTTAGTTTAATTTTTTATTTATCTTAAGTCCATTGCATGTATTGAGACTATAGGCAATATTCTATATAAAAAAAATCTGCTTAATGATTTAACCTGCAAAAAAAAATATTGTGTTTCAGTGTGTCTTTTTATCTATTATTTTTTTTATCTTATTTTTTATTGTGTGAAATGTATTTTTTTAAATTAATTTTAGACAATGTTTAATTTGCCAATTTCCATGGTGTATATATTGATGCTTTGGCAATATTCAACATAAAACAATCATGCCAATAAAGTTCTCTGAAATTGAAATGACCTAAATGATTCAGCTTGAGTCAGATTCACTGAATATAAATTATTTGTGTGAATGTCACAGTATATGGTGTTTTTGTTGCTCAGTTGGTAGAGCACGCTGCTAGCAACACCAAGGTTTGATTTGAATGAATGAATGAATGATGCATTTATATAGCGCTTTACTGTGTATTGTTGTACACCCAAAGCGCTTTACAATCATGTGGGGGGGTCTCTCCTCAACCACCACCAGTGTGCAACATCCACTTGGATGATTTGGGTTTGATTCCCAGAAATCACATGCTTTAGATAAAAGCTTCTACCAAAAATGTAAAAATGAAATGTAGTTCAATCTAGTCTTTTATTTTGCTTCCCGAAAGCCTATATTGCAAATATATATATATATTGAAATGGAGGTTTATACTGCATTTTTACTATATTTTCTTCAGAGTTCTCCAAGCTTCATTTAACAAAAAATAGGCTTGGTGCCAACACTATTCACACCTACGCTTATGCTGTGCTCCTAGTATGCAGCACTTACTATACCATGTTAATATGAGCTCTGAAATAAGCTTGATAGCACGTTATTTTGGTTGTGCAGCCGTCACAATGCATCTTCGCTTCAACTTCACACAGGGCAAATCTATGACAAGAGGTCAGCGTGATGTCACAGCGTATATGGTATTTTATCAGTGTGTATGAACAGCAGTGAGGCACACAGCAACCCAGTTATGAGTTAATAAAAGGTAGGAGGCTGAGATGAAAGTGACACCCAGCACCTGTGAGTCAGAAGAGCAGAAGTGAGACAGACAGTAAAGCCAGACAAAATGGGCAAGAGTGTCTCAGAGGAGACGTTTGCATTCCAGCAGGATGGCAGGTTCAAACGCAGGTACAGAAGCAGTGCTGCTGGCCCTAACGTGCCCTTCAGAGCTTTCCAAGCTTACAGAGATGAGAGGAGAACTCTCTGGCCAAGACCCACATCCCAAGCCGACTATCTACTGGCCATGTGGGGGAGCTTAGGAAGATAGATGGATTTGGAAGGAGTTCAGAGGGATTTGATGGTTGTCACTGAGGTGGCTGTGCCGCTTGGCCTGTAACACTGTTGACATCTTCATGACAGTGCAAAAGTTTCAGCTGCTTGGCAGGTGCAGGACGCCAGCAAGAAAGGGGATGTGGTAGAGAGAGAGAGAGGTATTGAGATTCGGCTTCCTCTGCCAATACCGCCAAGCATTTTCCTCTGGGATCTAGTGTTTTATTACCCCTTAAATGGCTACTGACTGCTCTGTATTTGAAGCGTGACAAGAGTGTTTGCTTAAAACGTGTGACTGGAGAAGCAATTGTCCTATGCCTGTCGATACCAAAAAGAGTTTTGAATAATTAGTAACGTTGAGATCCAGAGAAATAAGAGGATGATTAGAGAACCCAGCATGAAAAGCGGAGCATAAACAATGTTGCCTGTTGTTCTGCTGGTACAGTCCTGTTGGTACAGAATTACTGCAACCCTATGATCATCGTGAAAAGAATAGAAAGGAAAAAGAAGAAGAAGAAGAGAAGAACAGAAAAGAAAATTAAGGAAGAACAGAAGAGAATGAGAAAGAACAGTGCAGTATAGAAAAGTAAGGAATAAGGGGAAACTTAAAAAAAGGAAAAGAAAAGGAAAAATCCAGCAGAAAAAAGACTCTGCTTAAACCAGTTTCTTAAACCAAGGCTGGGAGACCAGATAAGTCTAGCAAACCAGCTTAGATTAGTTTAAGATTTCAACAAAGAAGAAAAGTAAATACAAGGAAAGGAAAGGAAAGGAAAGGAAAGGAAAGGAAAGGAAAGGAAAGGAAAACACGAAAATGAGTGAGAAGGATTGAAAAGACAAAAAGAAAATGAGAAACAAGGAAAATGGAAAAATGTAAGAGAGGGAAAGAAATTAAAAAGAAAACAAAAGGCAAATACAGAGGAAAGGGAAATGGTGAAGAAAAAAGAAAACAAAAGTGACTAGATGTATCATTTCATTTCATCAAATGACAGAGCTGAAAGAATCCAGTAAACAAATGTTTAGGTTGAAGACAATTAAGACAATGAGTCAAGCAGACAGATTGACTTCTATAATTTACAATTAAATATTAAACTATAACTTGTTTTCACAGAGTCAAATCGTCTATCCAGCGACAATAAACCAGCACAGAAAGATTAAAGGAAGAAGATGGCAGAGCATCACAACATGGCCGTCTACACCCATGCTAATGTATTGATGGCCTCTATCACTCTCATTGTCAAGCCAAATAGTCAATGAGCAGGCCTGAACACACAGTTCCTTTTCCACATACATGTTGGCTAAAACCCACAGCTGAAGCCATTTAAATGAAAGCGGAAACCTTTTGTTGCCCAGGTGAAGCAACATTTGCCCTGTTCCTAACATCAGCTTTGATGAAATGCCACAGACCTGGGCTCATGTGCACATGTGGGCTGATTTTGCCAGTGGGTACACAGAGCCTAAACACTGTTCCTCAGTCAGCAGGGAGTGGGATTGGGCACTAATTTACGGCAGTTGCCTGGGAGCCCTGGGATATCTCCAGCTGGACTTTTGGCAGTTTATTGAGTGATTACATGATCTGGTGACTCAGTGGACTGATTCACAGTCCGCTTCTGTCAGTGTTGAATTCATAAATTGGCTCCTCTGGGACAAAGAAGACCCTGTTTTTTGTGCAAAACAGCACACAAACTCATATTGCATGTCCTTATCTTTAGCGCAATGCCGAGGCGGGCCACACCTAATGGGAAACACAGAACGGAGGGTGCAGCAAACCTGAGAGCCCCTGTCTATTTCCAACACCCTTCATCTAAGCCTGACACCAATTTCCTTGGCAACCACATCGATGGTACAGGGGCTGTGGGGGTCGTGAAGTTCTGAGACAGAAGAAATGGGAACTACTTATGCAGGTCCTGACACTACTGGCTGGCTTTGTCTAAAAATACTGCTCCTCACCTCACCCCAATATTCTCCCTCACTTCCCTGCCTAATTGAAAACGAAATTTATGCAAACCAGTTTTATTTCATTTTAATGCCCAGCACCGTTCTCTTGTTACTTTTTATATGAGTTCAAAGAAACCATATAAAGCTTACATTTAAAACCACTCATATAGAATGTAACTACTTTGCAAATGCAATGAGGCAAGGGCAGCTTTTCTACAGCTTCACACAAAGTCACAGATTCCAACTTTTCCTTTTTTATTTAGTTACATGAAGGTTACCTTTTATTTTTAGTGCTTTTCAAATTTGTGCGGTTTTATTATTTTACCCTTGTTCCAGACCCAGCCTTTCAGTCTTAAAGTATGAAAAAATATGAATTTATACATGTTTCAAGGAATGATAATATTAACAAAGAGCAATATTGTATATTATAGCAATATTTATTGTGTGAAAATAATTTATATAATTTTTTATTACAATGAAAATGTATTTTAATTTAAGATACAAATTGACTGTCCCTCGTTTTAGGAAGTCTCTTATGCTCACCAAGACTGCATTTATTTAATCGAAAATACAGTAATACATGGTGAAATTGAAATTTGAAAACAACTATTCTTTATTTTAATATATTTTAAAATGTAATTTATTCATGTGATGGCAAAGCTGAATTAGCATCCATCCCTCCAGTTTTAGAAATCATTCTGATATGCTGATTTGATGCTCAAGAAACATTATTATTATAATTTAGTGCTGGGCAACGATTAATTGTGATTAATCACATCCAAAAATAAAAGATTTTGTTTATATAATATGTGTGTGCACTGTGCATATTTATTATGAACAGTATATATAAAGACACACATACAGTATATATTTTGAAAATATTTACATGTATATATTTATATTCATATAATTTATATCATATATACATATATTTAATATATAAACAACATTTTTCATAAATATAAATGCATGTGTGTGTATTTATATATAGGCTACATAATGAGTACACACACATATATTATGTACACAAAACTTTTATTCTGGATGCGATTAATCACGATTAATTGTTGCCCAGCACTATTATTATTATTATTATTATTATTATTATCACTGCTTAATTTTTTTGTGGAAAGTGTTGTGGAATCTTCCTAGAAATCTTTGATGGATAGAAAGTTAAGTACACATACATAATTAATATTCATTATATTTCCTGACCAAAAGTGTTAACGTCATTTTCACAGATTTCACATGCATTCTTGTCATTTTATGTAGTTTAAAATGGTTAAAATCTTTATATCTGTGAAAATAAATGTGCCACTTCCTGAATATTAAGTGTTGAATAGCAAACTGCTATTAAACATTGTGTAACAAAGTTCGTAGTCACGGGAAGGAGGCGGGAACCGGCGAACATTCAAAGAAACTTTAATAATAAAATAAACCCAAAATAGCGTGACAGCCCCTCGCGGACGACTGTCGCGCACAAACAGAACCAAAACACAAAATAAAGTCCAGGCCTGGTCCTCTCTCGACTTTCACTGTCGTCACTCCTCCTTTTTATCCTTCCGGAGCTCCTCCGTGAGACTCGATATCGGTGAGTGGTGCAGGTGTCGCTCATTATCAATTACTCCACCGGCCTCGCTCCGTTCCCACGGCTCTCGGCCCCGCCCCCACTCGTCACACATTGCTTGAAGATGAATAACACAGTGGCAGAAGAGATACAGTCTAGAGAGAATGCCCTTCATTTCTTTCTTTGAAGAATAATGTATGATGTTGTTTCCATGTGTAGCTCTCTGTGTCCCACAAACCCTGTCCTGGGATTATAGTGAACATACACAATCCTACGCAACATTGAATGAATGATATATGCATTTTTGGATTTGATATATTCACCTCTAAGTCTGTGGATACTCCTTTTCTGAAAAGCTTAATCCACTGGGGTGCCAAAATGTCCAATGTGATTAAAACAGCAAAAATTCTGACCTTGCAATTGATAACAGTCATGCTTGTTCTGAACAGAACTGTTGAAAAGCCTAAAGGTGCATTGATTCTTCCTGCATTACTCCATATATTGAGTTCTGTCTCTGTAGAACATAAGTATGAGGGTATTGCTGGATAATTTGGGCTCACCAATTTGTCTCCTGGCACCCACAGTGCACTGCAACTGACAGATATGGCACAATGAACAAGGACGTGTTGTTATTATTGTTGTTTAATAGCATGGCGGGCTTAGATTATTTTGAAGCAGTGTTCCGAAAAGAAAATTAGGTAAATGGAAGTTGGAGAACTGTAGCTGCTCAGGCTTGTTTAAACTAGATCACGACGCATAAAAAGACTTTAGAAATATGCTAAAACCTCGTCCATAAGGAATGTCTATAATGAAGTCTCTGCGAATAAGGCTGCAGCTTCTTCATGGAGCATTATCATTCTTTATTTGAGCAGTCTGGATACTTTGAGCTGTACGGTGAAGACAGATATAGTGCTTAAGTCTTTAAAAGAGCAGCTGCACCACATGAAAGGACAGGTATGTTGGTTTAGATGACAGTAAATGGTATTCATGTAGTTATCTGTATTCATCTGTATTTCTTTAAAACTATTCTTTTTATCTCTGCCTTTATAGCTGAAGTGTGTCATTTATGTGCCATTAGTGCCACCAAAGGCAAAAAAGCAAGGAAATGGCAAAAATTATCAACTCAGATGTTTTTTTTTCTACTTTTTCTGCTGTCTGTCTTTTGTTGGACAAGCAGATAGACCTGTTCCAAACTCACGAGATTTGTTGAGCCAGTGTTGCTGTTTCCGGTTGGATAGTATACTCAACAAACAACAACAACAACATAATAATAATATTAATAATAACAATAATAATAATAACAACAACAATAATACTAATAATAATGTTATTATTAAAGAAAAATTATATTAATTTAATGCATATATTGTACAATTATTATTATTAAGAATAATATTTTTTATAGTACATTTTTTTTTATTTTGAAATATATTTAAAATTATTGTAAAGTGTTACCATATTTAATTTACTGGGGTAGTGTGTGTGTGTATGTGTATATATATATTATTTTATTTTATTTTTTTCACCCCCGGATCTTAATGCATGGTTTTTCCTTCTGGAGCATCAGTGAGCGTTTAAACCTTGTGTAATAGTTGCATATGAGTCCCTCAGTTGTCCTCAGTGTGAAAAGATGGATCTCAAAATCATAGTCACTTTTGGAAAAGGTTCAAACATGCATAAGATGCTGGAAAACCAAAGAATGTGCAGGAGCTGGGGGATTTTTCTGAAGAACAGCAGGCAGTTGAACTGCTCAGGACCAATGCAGGACTCATGAACAACTATCACAAAACAGAAAAACAGTCGTGGATCATCCAGGAAACGACACACAGTATTAAGATTCAAGGGTATGTAAACTTTTGAACGGGGTCATTTTTATAAATGCAGTCATCATTTTTTCTTGTGGAGTAAAAATAAACATCTGTTATGTTAAATAGCTTATTCAGGTCAGTACTAAAAAAAAATAACATGCAATTTTCATGAGCTCTTATTTTGTTAAAATGATTAACATATTTGCATATTCTGCAAGGGGTATGTAAACATATGAGCACAACTGTATATATATATATATATATATATATATATATGTGTGTGTGTGTGTGTGTGTGTGTGTGTGTGTCATTTTCCCAATAAAATACATTTAAAATATTAAAAAATGTTTGTTGTAAGTTCATGATACTTAATGCATTAAATAATGCAAACTGGACCTTTCTGTAATGTGTTACCATAAATACAGTATTTGATAAGAATATGATACGATGCATGCAATGCAAATTTGATTGAAAACTGAGTTTTTTGGAGGCTGGGCTCTAGCACTGCAATGATGTTAGCCAGTATAAAATTTTAATTTTCTCTCTAGAACATCACCCCCCGGGAAGTCCACTGAGATTTAATTCTTCCTCTTCAAAAGGATTTTAATGATATAAATGTGACCTCATTTTTATCCTCCATTTCACCGTTTCTTTTGCAACATAATTGATTCTTCAGTCCGAAGGTCTCTCTACCATAAAGGTGTGCACTGAAAATTATGGTCAGATTTGAAAAGCAGTGACCTTTGAAGTGCCTCACGATAGTCAGCTCTTCACGATTCTAGCCCATGAGTTGCTCCTTCATTCTGGTGATATAAGAATGAGGGCGATCACTAGAGACTGACAATAAGTGTGTATATGATCCAACATGTCTGCCTGAATATGTGATTTCACTCAATTTCAAGCTTGACTGCCCCTGCACGACTCACGTGTTTCTTTAAAATATTCCCGGAAAACATTTATCTAATCCCTTTCAGGGCTTCTTGGCTCTGTAGGCAGGAAAGTGTCAACTTTGCACATGCAAGCATTGTATTTGTACTGCTAATACTGTCAGTTAAATAAAAAATACCTAATTAAAATAAAAGCCTTTATTGGGCTTTCCTTTCCTTCAATAGTTTTTTGTTTTGTTTTTGAGTTTCCAGTTCACTTTTCTCACATTTAACTCTGCCAGCTTTAATTTGAATAATGAAACTTCAAAGTCTTCTTGCTTTTTAAACCACCGTGTGCCTGTGCACTGAACGGCTGCCATTCTGCTCTGAAATGGTTTGTGCCTTATCTCAATAGACAGATGTCTTCTCATCTTCAGTATGGTGATTTCAACATCTTGTGGGTCTAACAATTTGACTGGCTCAGTGACCAGCAACAGGCTGGAGGTTGTAAAGTTTGGGGTAAAATGTATTTCTAAACCGGTTTAACTTGCAAAAATAGGGCTACTACAAAAAAACAAAACAAAAAAAAAAAACAATCCTGTCCTTCCTGTCCTGAAGGCAGGATTAACAATTGGTATTTGGACACGTGTCCGGGGGCACCGTGTCTAGAAGGGGGCAGCACCACACCCAGGGGGGCACCGTGTAAAATAGCAAGAAAAGCAGCACAATGGAAGTAGTACACTAATCCAATTCATGAGAATGCTAATTTCATAGGCAAATAATGATGAGAGAAAAACACTAGGCAACAAGCCTAAATATTTTGAAAAATATAAAACATTTACAAACAAGAAAAAACTTTTTTTTCTCTTTGTCTATTATGTGATACACTTAAATGTCAGGAAAATATCAGAAATCTTAACAGTAAAATGGAGAGAAAAAGAGGCAACACTTAATAAAAACATTTTTGGTGGGTTCAAACATCTACTATTTTTGACACATTTAAATGTTTTAAATATCAGCAAAATGGAGCGATAAAGAGGCAACAATTAAATACAATAAAAACTTTTTTGGGGCGTTTAAACATCTACTATGTGTCACTTAAATGTCTTAAGTATTAGCAATATCACTGGTAAAATGGAGAGAAAAAGAGCCAACACTTTTAAACAAGAAAACATTTTGGGGGGACTTCAAGATCCAATAATAACACACTTGATTTCTTTTGAAACTAAAACATTTTTTTTTTTAAAGAAACAATATTCTGTTATTCTCCAAGCCTGCTGATGAATAACACAAAGTGTGTGAAAACTGGATTTGATGCAGTAAAAAAGGACGAGTTGATAATGAATAGATGAATAAGCAAATAGAACGCACGAATAACTTCTTATTTCAACTCAGAGGCAAAGCTGAATGTTCACAGAATACAAAAAAGTTGTGCCTTTGCTGTCTGCTTTGAGGATTTGACTGAGAACAATAAATCTGTTTTTTTAAGGAAACCTAGTGTTCATTATTTTTAATACTGTATTTATACAATATGCACTTTTTTCAAAATACATTGTGCATGCTTTTGTGCTCTTAGATATAGAGTTGAATTGTTTTGTCCCAGATCTGGATATGGACAGTAAAAGGTCAAAGCATTTTTTGTGCATTTTGTTTGGTCAGTTCTGTCTCGCTCCAGTGCACAAAGCCAATACACATTGAGGTCAAGTGAATATCGAGTGTAACACAGGGAAATGTTGTTTTGTTCTGTCCTTCGGATTTCAGCATATAAATCATTTGCGCAAAACAAATATGCCACCAGAGCAAACCGATGTCCAATGGAGAGAACTTCACCTCACAACAAGATATGTCAGAGGGTTAGATTTAAACTTTGTGAAGAAGATTGTGATGCCTCTCACAAAATGGCTTTGATATTGCACCTGTACTGAGTGAAGCTCATAGGCTGCATCTGGTAGACTGATTCACCTGCAAGTCATTCTTTTGAAACCAGATAAGTATAGACTGGATTAGAAACACTTGAAACAAGCCTTTAAAGATATACTAGCCCATTTTCGATGCATTGCTAAAAATATTACAATGTAATTGTACAGTAGTACTGAGGAACAGACATTCAAAAGATCTGACTCAAAAGATTGATTCATTCATTTATGACTCTGAAGAATCAGGATAATTATTTCAAGAACTATCACAAAAGTGCTAAGGAGAGCTAGGGTACATAAAAAAGTGGATATTATTCATAAATTCACCTTGTATGTTCCACGTTAATACGGTTTTGGAACAGCATATAGGGTGAGTAAAAACTGACAAAATTGTTTGTTTTTGGGTGAGCTCTCCCTTGAAATGACAACGAAAGAGCCTATTCAAGACAGCCTGATTAGAACAAAGACCTGTTGCCAATTCTAGTGTCCTTTCCTTCATAACAGCTCTTCCACTGTACCACACACACACTGCCGGCCCAGAAAAGCCTCATTGTACTCTCTTGCTGGGCTGGTGGATTAATGTAATTTGAAATATGAAGTCAGACTGCACAGACCGTGGCTAGATTTTATAAACACTAATCAGTCTGGAGATGTTTTCTCCAAGGATGTGTGTTCCATAGGCCAGCACACATTAACACCGCTTAAAAACATGCACAACCCATTTCGGCTTCATGGCAGTTGGGAGAAGGAGACGTGTCTTGCTTGTTTATGAGATAAAAACCTGACAGAAAAAAAACTGTGAATGGTAGGATGACACTGGTGATGTGCAAAGGGGAAAATATTGGAAGTACTGGGCTGAATTAATAACCCACTGTGTGTTGGTTGAATTCTTGAGCAATTTTACTAGAAACTCTGCATAATACATTTATTTTTTATTTTAGAGAATTTAATTTTTCCAAAAATCCAGCCTAAAGAGATAGTTCACGCCCGCCC